TTTAGCGCATAAAAATTTAACCAGACCAAAGTTTTTACAGGACTCAGGGACCAGAAAGTCTTAAAACAATATAATAAAAAAGTGGCGTTACTCAGCCACACAGCACGGGTACTTCGAAACGGCTAAAGCCGAGCCAAATGCTTCCAGCAACCTCCTGAGGAGACAAAACAAACTCATTCTCACTGTCTGAGTCATTCAAAAGACGAAAACGGTTGAAAAAAAACTGGCAGCTACATCCCTTGTCAACCAGTCGACGAAGTACAATTGACCAAACCATAATTATGTTAAGAAGGCAACACTTCACCCGATGCCACGAACAATCGGACACCGTCTGTCGCTAAAAACGATCCATACACCACTAACTGTCTCAGTTCCTGTCTACTAGGGATGTGCCGGACGTACCGGGTCACAAAACTTTATTCATTTCATTATTTTCGACTGAGAAGGACGTGTAAATTCAGCAGACCGGAAAGTCCCAGTTATTACACCATATAAATATTAGTGTGAGCAACTTAATAACGCCGTTGTTATTTCTCCTCGATTGTCCAATCTGCACTGCGCCTCATTTGCTCTACAGAAATCGACGCATCTTCCTAGTTTTATTTGCCTACTGCAACTTAGCAGTTACATTCAAACCCGGAACAGTGATTAAATCCGAAGGACTTCTACAAAGAACACACAAATCTCTCACAGTGAATGGCGATGCTCAAACTGACCTGGGCGATTACAACGACAAGAAAGATGACGAGTGCGGCGGAGAAAGCGATCTGTAATGCAGTCATTATACGATAGTGGCAGCCATCACAACGGATATCGCATGAACGGGGAGGATCCTGATGCAAGAACCGAAAATCATCACAGCCAGCATTTCCTTGAAAAGACAGACGTTAACGCACTGTCCGTCACAGTATTTCATGAAAATTGAAGTTTATATTCACGAAAGTTCGGAAAATTTTCACAGAGGAACAGATGCTAAAGTCACCGCAAGTCATTGGAATAGAACAGGATAAATAATACATAGAACAAAAAGGCCGTAAAAAGGCTCATGCATTTTAAGACGACAGAAAGATGAACAAATTCTAGGCAATCCGGGAGTGCCACCAGTTGCAACAGTTCTATGAACAGCAAAAGCAAACCGCAACATCGAAAAGTATGTTGCAAACGATCCAAGCTTTCCTGAACAATACTAGCACCTTGATAGTAATTTTGCACCATGTAATTCAGCGCATCAGCCACTTCAACATCGATCTTTAAAAAATGCATTTTGTCAAAGCAAAGTCTCACAGCAAAAGAGAAGTTGGAAGCCTAGCTATAAGTGGTAAGAAAACTAAAATCCAAAAAACCTTAGCTGCGTAATAAGAAAACTGAAACCGAAGCAGAGCTAAATCGCAGCCAAATTCTGGCAAGAACTTTAAATAGCCCTAATTGGGTTTAGCGAATTTTCCAGAACAATTCGAACCAATTCGCAAACTCACGCCATATTTTTTGAAGATAAGGTAGAGCGATGATGAGATGATGCAGAGCATGACCAGAAATGCTGCTATCGCATATATTACAAGAAGGGCTCTCGAGCCAATCGACGCAGCGCAACAACCAACTACACCGAGCACTGCTAGACTCATTCCAAGCACAATCAAGAGATATGAGAAAATGTACAAAGTTGGAGCCTAAAACTTCATAGATTTCAGAAAGAAGCTGTGAAGTATATTTTGCACTTAAATTTCAGCTAAATTCTGTAATGCTCTTTTCATTTATTTACAAATGCTAAAAGTAGCATTTAATCATAGTCTGATTTTCCAATCATGCAGCTGATCACTTCGGCAGCTGCTCTGCTTAAGGCTAGCCTTCTAGCTATCCTGAGGTTTGTTGCGTTTCACAGAGGTATCAGCACTTCGTCGGGCAGATGCACTTTCAAGACGTTAGCACCACCCCGTCCCGAACGATGCCACCCTCAAATCAAGATGCCTTATCAACTGCAGTCCAATAACACACTTCATCCTCGTGAACAACGCTCCAAGTTTCGTTGCGGATTGTGCTTCAACTGAGCTCGAAGCACCGCCATAATTTGCGAGCACTGCAGCTTTTAACACTTATGATCGCGATCGATGACGGTATCCAATTGCCGCTGTATCGGTTGCAAACAGCCAGCATATTTTAAAAATTGTTGAGTTTTAAAAGCGAAACAGATGAAGCTGATTCGCTGTCCCAGCGATGCTGAGCAGACAAGCGGCTTCCCTGCAACGCCAACAGCTCGACATCTGTCAAAAGTTAGTGCAGAAGTTGACCGAGATGCCAGTGCAGCGCAAGATGGGATGAAATACCTGCCAAAACGCTTCCTGAACAACGTTTCGGTATCGCTGCGACAGGAAATCTCGGAATCGAGAATCTGCACGAAGCCACACTCCCGTTGCCAACGACATAGTACCGGCAACCTGAAGCATTCATGATCTTTCCATTTCAGACACACATCCGATTCGCAGATTCAATTTTTCGAACAAAACAAGACTAGAAAACAA